GCATTTGCACACGTGTGCTCACGTGCTTCCTTGCACTTAGCTGTCCGCGTAAGGAATATTAAGGGAACAGATAAATGAATGATTAAACAGAAGATCCCATAAGCTCAGTTAAAAGAAGAGAGGCAGACTGGGAAGAGATTATTTTGCATTGTGCTCAACAAAGGAGTAGCGATTGTCTTATATAAAGAGCGGCTCTCAGTCAATAACCAAAAAAAAAAAAGGAAATGGGAAACCTGGAGGACGATAGAACAGAGTGAGCCAAAACGGCCAATCAAGCTCTCTGGTGATTAAGTGCCTCTGACATTTTGGGCCCGCGTGTAACAGACACACACAACAAACAGAGAAATACACTGTGAGGCACATTACCTGGTGGCAGGTGCTGTGGGGAAAGAGCAAGAGCAGTGACAGGGGCTCACAGGTGCCCAGAGGCGGGCACAGCTTGTGGAATGAAATAGGGCACTGAGGGGCCTCAGCAAGGGGGCAAAGGAGAGAGCTGGTGTCTGGAGAGTGCATTCCAGGACATGGGAAGGGCCAGTGGGGAGGCCCAAGCAGAATGGAGGCGGGTCAAGGCAGCCAGGGGACAGACCACAGGTCCCGTGCCCACACGAGAGAGGCGGGAGCCCTGGGAGGGTCATGAGCAGGGAAGGGCGAGTCTGAGTTGTGTCCAGCAAGATGCCTCTGACAGCCACATGGAGACAGGTGAGGGTGGTGCCAGGATCAGGGCAGAGGCTACAGCTCTGGTCCAGGGACTGATGATGGGCCTCAGACGGGGTGTGTGGGGAGGGGACGCGGGGCAGCTATAGGTGTGCTCAGAAGGCACGGCCCACAGGGGTCCTCTGTGCCTTGGACGTGGAGGGCGCAACAGGAATGCCAGGCCGGGAGAGCATCTGGACGGGTGCTCACTGGCACGCATAGACATGCGGCCCCACGACTTTGGGGATCTGTGTGTGTACCGTGTGTGCATACCCAGAAGGAAACACACTGAACTGCCTTATCTCCTTCCTTATGCCCTTCCGCACCGTCCAATTCTCTACAATTTGTGTGCGTTACTTTCATCATTTCTCATTCGTTTTAAAGGAAAGGGGAAGAATCAGGTCACTGCCATTTTAAAGCTGCCCTCGGACCTCAGCTTGGCTCTGGGGTTGGTGCTTGGGCCGACACCCCGCCTTGCTCTCCTGTACCCACGTGCCCTTGCCAGGAGATGCACTCAGGCCACAGCCCCTCTCAGTTCTGCTTCTGGGGAATGGGCCCCTCTGCCAGCTCCCAGGAGAGCTTGAGTGAGCCATGCTATGAATGGTGCACAGGTGTTTGGACAACTGGTCTGCAGTTTCGGGAGAAGACGAAGGAAGAGAGAAGTTTGAATCTGGAAGAAGCAGACCTGGAGCCCAGGTCTTTTGACTGTACCCCACCCCACGGCCTGTGGCCAGTGCCACACCCCAGCAGAACTACTTACTGGCCAAGCGAAGGAGGCGATTGTAGTCTGACATGTGCGGCTTGGGTTTGGGCATGGGGTCCCACTCTTCCAACAGGGTGGCTGGGGACCTGGGCTTTGCCAGCTGTAGGATCCTTGGGCTGGGGATGGCCATCTGGGCTGCCCTGGATACCTGGGACACCTGGAAACAATTACAGGGAAAGAGTACAACAGTCCATGATTCATCACAGGCCCCTGGATCAGAAAGACCCCATAAGCAACAGTAAGAGACACAGGACTCACTGGGAAGAAGTTAGTTTGCAGTGAGTTCAGCAAAGGATTAGTAGTTATCATATATAAAGAGTTCTTCTAAATCAATAACCCAATAACCAATAGGGGCCTGGGCTAATCATATAGGAGAGTAAACCTAAAAGATCGATAATCCTCTGTTGACCAGGGAAATATAAATTAAAACAACAAGATATCACTCCATGCCAACAAATTTGGCAAACATGAAAAAGTCTGAAAAAATTATCAAGCCCTAGCAAGAACATGGGAGGAGAGAAAATCCTCATGCATGGCTGGTAGGAGAGTAAATTAGTACAAACACTTTGGAAAGCATTTGTCCTTCTCAAGTTGAACATGTGGACACTTGAAGACCACCATATAGAGAAACCCCCTGCCCTGGAGCACAAGGAAATGAAGGCAGTGATAGTCACTGTAGCTCGAATATCATGGCAAACACTTGGAAGCAACCAGGTTGTCCGTCAGTCGGAGGCTGGGTAAATCAATTACAGTATATTCCTATGGTAGGATGCAATCCAGTCAGTAAAATATTGGTTCTCTATATATCATATGCCATGTTTGAGAAAACAAATATTGAGGGGAAAGCAAGAAAGTTAACACACCATGTATGTGTATTAAAAACACAAAATGCTATGATTACAGTTGATGTGTCTAGATACTAATAAAGTTTAAAATGATGGCAATGAGGCAGAGCTGCTGTGATGGGGACGTGGTTGCCAGAGGCCTGACAGACATTTCACTGAGAAACTTGACCCACTTGCTCCGTAGATAACTTCTTAGCGTTTTCCAGAGAATCCAGGCACTACCAAAATTGTCTGCTTTGATACTTATGTCAGCCTACTCAAAGGCAGCACCTAGATGGATCTCTGTTAGCCGACTGCTAATCATTGTCTCCCTATCCCCCAAAAATGCACTCAAGACCCACTCTTCCCAGGCTGCCCGCTCTTTAGCATATGTCCTGTCCAGCTTCTTTCCTTGACCTGCCTGCCCTCCAGCTGGCTCCCACACGTGTGCAAACAGTCTGCCTGCAGATGAATCAGAGTGGGCAAAATAACGTTCTGAACGTCTGGAACGGTGACAAGGGGAAGATGAGCTGGCCATTCCTGATACCTCTGGAGAGGGAAGGAGGAAGCCAGGGTAATTGTTGAAATGTTTTATTCCTTAAAGAGGAGGAGTAGGTCTGAATAAACTTGTGGAAATGTTGTGGTTGGTGCCGGTGTATTTGCAATGTTTCGTGTCATAGGAAAGTTCTCCATACAGTAGTTTTAACAGAAGCCTTCTTGGAAGCAGAGGTTGGTTGAAATGACCTCCCAGGGTCAGTTGGAAATTTGAGTCTGTTTCCTCTTAAAAGTGTCTTCCCTAAAAATCACAGGTGCTACTCTTGTCAGAGACATCTTGGTGTTTATAATTTATGTCCCACTCAACCCTCCATTTCCTCCTTCCTTCTCCTCCCTTCCTCTCCCCTCCTCCTTTCTTTCCCCATGACTGACACAACTCAGGCCTGACTGCTGGGTGGGGAATGAGCCTGATGTCAGTCCTGCCTGGAGGGGTGGGCAGGCAGGTAAACATTCACCTGTCCATGTCTTAGACTAATATTGGTTGCCACTCTGTGCCTTGCATAGGGTAATACGAGCTTAGGAATATTGCCACTAAAAGCAAGAAAGACATGGTCCCCGTCCTCAGGTTGCTCCCAGTCTGGTGGAAGAATCAACAGTCCATCCAGAAACTGTGCTAGGGGCTGGGAAGGAGCAAAGGAGTGTGCAGGGATATTGGAGGTGGGACTCCCACCAGACTGGCTGGGAACGGGAGGGTCGGGCAAAGGAGAGGAGGGTTCTTGAGTACAAAGGGGCTAGATAGAGAGGGGAGAGGTGTTCCAGGTAGCAGGACCTGCGTGGGCAAAGACCTGGAGGCTCATCGAAGGTCCTGCATGTAGCCCAACAAAGCAGGTATATGAAGAAGGAGAGGTCAGGAAGAGCCAAGTCTTGCTGAGCCTTCAGTTCTTAGCTTGGGAATCTGGACTTTCCCAGGGACTGGGAACCATGGAAGGGTTTGGCACACAGAAGGAAAGAGGCATCAGGGCAGGCTTGAACTGGCAAAGGCAAGGCAGGCAGCCCGGAAAACAACAGGTGAATCTCAGGTAAGAGGTGGGACAGGTCGAGAGGACAGCACCCTCCTTTGGATCCCAATTCAACCAAATTGGCCATAAAACCCTTTTGGGGGGGATCAACTGGGAAAAGTGAATACAGACTGGGTATTTGGATATTAAGGTGTTACTGTTAAATTTTTTAGTGTGATCATTGTTATTATGGATGTCAGTTAGAAATGCATACTGAAGTAGAAGAGAAATGGTATGATGTCTGGATTTACTTTAAAAAAATTTTTTGAAGTGGGGGTTCTGGAAAACAATCATGTGAAAATCCCCATCAACATATTTAGTGCAGATTAAAACCACAGTGAGATGCCAGCTTCACAGCAGCTTTATTTGTAAGAGCCAAAAACTGGAAACAACTCAAATGTCCTTCAGGGGCTGACTGGTCCACCCACGTGATGAAACATGACCCAGTGCTCAAAAGGCAAGAACTCTGGAGATGCTCGAGAATCTCAGACACATTAGCTGAGCTGCGAGAGCTCTATCCCATCATGTGGTACTCAGAAGGGAAAATTGTGGGAATGGGGGACAGGATGCAGTTGCCAGAGGCCATGTTGGGCCTGAGTGGGGAACTGAACTATGTCGTGACCTCTGAAACGGGCAGGGAAGGGGGTCCCTGAGCAGGTTCAAGGCAGTGGTGAGAGGAAAACCCAGCTCCGTCCTGAGCAGACAGACACCGGGGAATCCCGCTTGCTCGACCGAGCAGTGCTGTGCAGACGGCCCCGGAGTGTGTGCTCTCTGACGCGGGCCCCCCGGGGAGAGCCAGAGCACAGCAAGGCACCTACCTCAGACATGTTTATGCTCCAAATGTTATTCCGGACCCTCGGGGCGGCCAGTTCCCTCAGGCGACTGGAAGCTTGGTATTCCAGGGAAGACCGAGGAACGGGCCAAATGGGGGTGGTCCTAGGGGACATCCACAGTTGACACAGCAGCTCAGCCAGGGGCGCGGCTCTGTCTTCTGCGCGTGTCATGTCCTCTCAGCCTGTCTCTGAGTTCGGGAATAAGGGACAGCCTGGGACTGTGGAGCGTTTTGAAAACACCTCCAGGAAGGGATTCAGGAAAGAATCCCTAAAAGAGAGGCCCTAAGTGTTCTCAAGGACAGAGCTACCCTCTCCCAAGGTCATCCCAGCTCAGGGTGCAATGGCCATCTTCCGATTCAGTGCTTCCCTGTCCCCCTCTGTGGTGACAGTGGTTCCCAGGGCCTCTCGCCCACACCCCTGTTGGGGCTGGGGTCAGGACTGGACATAAGGGATGAAAGGGTGTGGGCCTGTGTATCCTGAAATCAGATGTCAGGTCTGTCTCTGCCCCAGAAAGAAAGCTATGTTTCATTGATCTGAGGCAGACGGGTTTGTATTTTCACATCTCTGAGGTTGGAAGGCAGCTTATAAATGCTGTCAGCCAAACGTCAGAAGTCCCATGGCTGTCCTCGCTTGCATGCACTCTGGGGTGGTTGTTGGCACTGAAATGGCCCAGCTGAATTATATGCATTCTTGGATCTACAGATGTTGTCTAATTGCAGTTTAAGTTATCTTCAGATTACACGATGATTCAGCAATAAAATGGAAAGTTACCATCACAAAGACAGGCAATAAAAACAGTGTGGGGAAACTTGTCAACATCTAAGTCAAAAAGTGATTCAAAAAATTCAGACACAGTTTAGCTAATTCATCTGCTATTATTTTCCTTTTATGTGCATAAAAATAGGTAATTAAAATCTATGTCTAAATAACTCTAAAGATAGCTTTTAACAAGCATGAAAGTTCTAAGTGATAAGAAGGCATTGTGTTAAAAGTTTTACACAAAATAAGGTCTTAGGATTGCTAGCTTTTTTAGGGCCAGCAAAATCCAGAATGATGATAAGTAACATTTGTTGAGCACTTGCTAGGTCAGGTACTGTGCTAAGTACCTTTCGAGTATGATCCCCACCTCCACTCATCCCACAGGTGGAGAGAGAGCTGTAGCTCATAGGGTCAAGTGCCTGCCCACAGGCATCCAGCTGGGGAGTAGCCCAGCCCAGTCTGAAGTCAGGTCATCTACTCCCTGGACCTGGACTCTCCCCATGCCACACTCTGTTAGGGAAGGGAGAGGTTTTCTGCCAACTCTGCTCAGCACTCCTTCCTTTACCTGTTGTTGTTGTAATACTCCGAGTAGAACCTTTTAGGTCGAGCCAGTTCCTCCACTCGGCGGGACACATCTATGCAAAATCGGAAACAGCCCCAACTGAGAAACCTGCCCACCCTCAGAGGTTTCCTTCTTGCTTAGTGTTCCACTAGCTAGAGTGAGAGGCACAATGTGAGGCACTGAGGGCCTAGAGAGTTGAGCACCAGATACCTTGCAGAGAAGTGACTTTTGCTATCCCCATTCTAGGGACAATGGTCCCAGGGGCCTGAAGTCCCTTACTCAGGGCACACAGGAGGGGAGCAGCAGGCCTGGAATGGGAGCTCAGGCCCATCAGTTCCTCAACAGAGCTCAGTGTGGCCCCAACAACCCACTGGTCGGGAAAGTGGATTTTGGTCTGCAGTTAGTACACACCTAGGGTTTACAAGAGCTTAGTGTCCACTCTGAGGAAGATTCTAAAACCCGCAAGAGAGAACCTGCCCTATTACTTCTCTCCAGTAAGAGATTTCTTGAAATAGTTTATTTGAAGGGATCCACTACTCTCAAAAAGTGTAGAAACCATTGCAGAAGGGAAGGCAAAGAGTCTTTTAATAAATTTAATACTAACCCCCATTTTGGCTGTAGTGCAAATTGGGATTTCCCCTGGAGAGTTTGCCCCACACCCCTCACCCCAGGACCAGCCTCCAGCATTTCTGGCTCCTCCAGAGACAGAGGTCAGAGATGAGATACCTGGGAGATGGGGGTTGGGGGAGCAGCAATAGGGAATTCTGGTGAGGTTAGGGCTAGGGGAGACCCCAGTTGGATCTCCTCGGTTGGATCTGGGGCACAGGTTGGAGTAGAATGGGGGTGACCCAGCATGAGGGCTGGGACAAGGGCCACCTCCGGCCCACCCCTGAGCTAGGTGACCCCTGATGGAGAAGTGGAGGTGGTGGGTGGGCTCCACCTACCTGGCACTGTGATGGTGAGGGTGGTGTCTTCGAGAAACCTCTCTGTCCAGTACACAGAAGGCCTGGAATACACCGAGGCATGGCTCAGGGTCAAGGAAGCTGGGACACAGGCTTCCTGTGCCCTGCTCTGAAACAGAACTCAGGGCACCTTACAAACAGATATGTACAGGAGGGAGACAGTGAGGCATGTGGGGAACTGTAGATGCTTTTGAGCAGGGCTGATGTTCAGAGAAGGGAGAGCTGGAAAAAAAAAAAAAAGGCACAGCTAAGAGCAGGACCCAGGGCCCTATCACGGGAGCAGACCCACTTCTCAGCTGGGTGGACTGGCGTCCAGAGCACCAGGGTGGAGCTGGGAATGGCCCTCGGGGTGAGGAAGCCCCCCATCAGAGGGCCCTTTCTCCCAATCCCTGCCCCTGGTGAGGAGGAGGGATCCCCTGGAGCATGCCCCCCATGGCAGGAGATGGAGGGGCACCCTGGGACTTACCAGTAGACACAGAACTGCAACTTCCTCTTGCACCGGGACACCCAGGCATAACCCTTACAGCAGCACTCCATCCTGCGATGAGATAGGCCCTAGCCCCCGACTGCTCTGTGGCTCCATTTGCTCAAAGGCCTCACTGTCCTTACTGGTACCCGGAAGCCACCCCAGTCCCATCTCTGGAACCCTGACTTCTAGCCTCCCTCTGTACCTGCCCCCCCGGTGTCATCACATGGGTGAGAGATGGGACAAGGGAGCCAGGAAGCCGGGGGGCGGGCAGGGGGGAGCAGGGCAGACCCCCAGGAGCTGCCCTCCTCCTCGTGGACCCCA